GGGGGGTGTGTTACCTGGTCTCCATATTTGTCACTTAAAAGACAGGTCAAGTCTGAAGAAGACATTTGCCCAAAATGGAAGTGCCGACATTAAATTGTGCTATGCTATATGGCCAAAGGTTTATGGACTCCTAACGGTTTTCAGTGTAGGGTATGCTTGATACTACATCATACAAAGACATTGTAGACAATTGGGCTCTTCCAGCCTTGTGGTCACAGTTTGGTGAAGACCCTTTTCTGTCCCCCCCATGACTGTCCCCTGTGTACGAAGCCAGCTCCATAAAGACATGGTGTGACCAGTGTGGTGTGGAGGAACTCAAGTGTCCTGCACGGAGCCCTGGCCATGTGGCCAAACATTTGTGGACACCTGACCATCGCAGCCACTAGATGGCCAAAACTATGTGTATTCTTCCAAATAATTACATTCTGGTGTCTCCAGTGAAGGTTCTGTTCCTCCTCCATCATACAAAGACATTGTAGACAATTGGCCACCTCAAGCCTTGGGGTCACAGTTTGGTGAAGACCCTTTTCTATTCCACCATGCCAATTGTCTACAATGTCTTTGTATGATGGAGTATGACCAGAACCTTCACTGGAGGCACCTGAACTCCATCATTACGTGTTCACATATATTTTGCCATATCATAGGCCATATGTTGGTCAGGTGTTCGCATACTTTTGGCCATATAGTGCATTTTGTGCCCAGTAAATTGCATATTTTTTGAGACTTAGCTGTCAGTTGAGCAAAACTAGAAAGCAGTATTCGGATTTAGAGTTGGGGAATTGCAGGTTCTATTATAGAGTCCTAGGATATGTATTAGGTAGGGACGCACCGATATCTGTTTCTCGGTGTCGAGTACGAGTAACGATATAGTTTTTTCGATACTCGCCGATTCCCGAATACTGATACTGGACGTCCCATTAAAGAAGCCAGGCGGTGTGTAAAGACTCGCCACATGGCTCCCTGATTAGCAGGGAAGCCTTCTCCATGCTCCCTCGTCACCAGGTGACGAGGGAGCATGAAGCCGGCTTTCTGGCCATTCAGAAAGCCGGGGATCGTGTAATGACTCGCTGCCCGGCTTCCTGATACCGGAAGCTTAAGTATCGGGCCAGGCATCAGAGCATTTGGGCGACTACCAGTACTCACCCACATACTCGGCACCAATACTAATACTAGTATCGGTATTGGTGCATCCCTAGTATTAGGCTTTAAGAAACATTTCAGTAAAAGTGAATTGACGTAGTGTCATCTCTATATATACAGATCTGATCACTGTGACCTATGTATACGTCTTTGTGTATATTTCTTGCTGTTTCCTGGACTGGTATGCCTACATAAGGTTATGATTGCATTGGTAGCTATTCGTTCCTGTTCAGTTATTTTCATTGGTTATTGTTTGTATGTCACATTTACTTATATATCACCTCTCGTTACATTCTTCATCTCTCTATTTTATTTGCTACATTCTTTCATTTCTTTACACTTTTTCCATGTTCCTTTTATCCTAATACTGACCCCAGTCAAGTATTCCACCAACTAGTTACATAGCTACGTAATTAAAGGCATACTGTATTATCACTGAGTTTGAGCATGTCCTATATACTTCCCGAGCACTAAGGACAATACAATAGAAATAACCATTTCATTTTAGGGTGGGGGGTTATCGGGGAACCTTGTCTGCCAATGGCACAACTGGCACCACTCTATAAATAAGCACCTTTGTGGCGAGGCTTCTTCAAAATTCTGTTCCCGTTGCCTGTAATATGGCAATCTTCTGATTGGGAGAGAAAGAGTTCTGCGTGTGCTGGTTGGGATAAATATGTTAAAATGTAACAATAATTATGTAATTGGTGCCATATGTTATGTGCATATATAATAATATGCAAATGCAATGGAACAGTCCCCGCAATTGCTAAATAAAGAACAAAGTGCATGAAAAGCAAAG